AATTCCATTCTATAACATATGGGACCGCGAAGAAGTAAAAGTGCAACCAACTACCGACGATGGGACTCGAACCCACAATCTTCGCCTTAGGAAAGCGACGCCCTAGCCATTGAGCCACGCCGGCTCAACGATGTCAGGTAGGCAGGATTAATGTAATTGATTAAGTTTTACGTGGGCCGATATGCAGATCGAAAAGTCAGCTCTCTCGACGCCATGATCATAACTAGACCACTACTGGCAAGCTCATGACCGTACTCAAGAGGTCATGTCTTATTGCATGCCTATCCTCTCCGTCAACATACGAGCGCCTTACCGAAAACCTCTTCGGTTCGTGTTCTCCAGCCACCCATCTATTCAACAACTTGAAAATAGCAGAGAACTTGAACAGACCTGGAGCGCGGACATGATGGGGCACGCGAATGTTTTTGTGTTGCAATAGGCTACGCAGTTGTGTTCATCAGTCTGAACTCTGCCTGCTACAAAAGAGTAGTGGATTCTCGACAGCATCATAAGTCAGTCTTGACATGTGACAGACGGTCGAGATCATCATGCTGACTTGAAAATGGACTAATTAATTAATCAATCATAGGAACGGTCCACTCCAAATGCACTGACCTACTACGGAATACAGGACTCCTAGAGAGAGACAGGAACACAGCCAATGGAGATGAGGCCGCCCTGCATGTCGTCAAGTCAGTGTTTGTAGATGAGAATGCACACGTGTGCATAACGCACATGGCTGTTGTCCTGGCAGCAAACGGCCTGAGCAGAGCATCCACTGGACCCCACTCCGATAACAGTGATAGGGGAGCAGGTGATTCCGACCACAGTGGTCAAGTCCCCGACAACGATGCCGAGGAGCCCCAGAAGGCTACTCGCTTGCGGGTTGCTGGCCTATTTCAGTGGATGCATTTGTTAGCATAGGCCTCAACGTAAAATAAATTTATGCTCGGCATACAGTCGTGACAGTGTTGCAGCACTGAACGGGACCGGTAGAGCAAGAGCTCGCAGGAGGTGGGGTCGGGGTCGGGGTCGGGGTCGGGGCGGTCGAGGTGGTGGGACTGACAGCCCAACGCTTGTCAGCGACGGCAGCGGGGATGGCGACCGCAAGAACGCCGAGGGCGAGAACAGAGGCAATGGAGATGCGAGAGAACATCTTGGAGGTGAGGATTAGAGAGGAGAGTGCTGGTCGTTTTTGCTTGCACGCCCCTCGCATTTATACTCTCAGACGGGTCGAGAAAATATATCCAGAAACGTTTCTCATGTCAATGGGTCCCGCTATACCTCTTGGTGTGTCGTGGGGCAAGCCAATCACCGCACCCCAGCATGGAATTGGAATTGCTGGAGCGCACGGCCGCATGCGATCGGTGATTGACTCGGGAAAAAATCCGCTCGCGAATGGTCAAGGCAGTTGCGCGTACGCCTCCTGCGACGGAAACGAGCTAGCTCGCGCGATGCCCGTATCGGAATCCAGATTTATGTCTGCGGGCTGAATATTAATGACATCGGCACCTAGTATGAATAGACAATGTGCTCACAAAAAAGACGACCCCAGACACGGTAGATTCTCCAGCCCTCGTCCGAGTGCAATACAAACACTCCCGCATAACGCAAACGCCACTTGGGTGTACTTGCTTGCCTCGAATGCCAGGCTCCACTAGCTGGTGCTCGATCCTGATGCTATAAATCTCCCCACCGCCGCGCGCCGCTGGGGTCGCGACGAATAGCATGCGCCGCTGTCAGAGACATTTAAAATGAAGGGCTAAAAGATGTAAGTACTTACCTATCGAGGTCTTTGAGGAAGCCCGTCCAGTCGCATTGAGCAATTTTGTAGTTGGCGCAGGGATGGACAGACCTTGCTTTCAATCGAAACCTGTGCGTGGAGATTGCATAGGAGAAAGCTGATTCTAGCTATAACATATATTAGCCACGGAGACTGAGATCTTAGGCGCAGGTTTGATGAATCCATGGGAGAAAGTTTGACCCGACAGCGGCCGCTTGACTCGTGCAAACGTGGGTGCTTCCCTACGTGACGCACACCGGAGCATTCCTAGTATAAGCGGTGTCACACTAATTGGTGTTAGTAACAGACTTACCATGCGTCCCGTACGATGGACGTGCGGCGAACTACTACGAGATCTAGATCCTGGCACGGGCATTCAAGTTGTAGGAGGAAAGATATTTGATACGCCAACAACATCTGCCAGTGAAAGCCGGGAGAACTGGCGATTTGGTACTTCACTGATGAACTTTTCAGGCTCTGTTGCGCATGCTACGAAGGTGGTGTGCCTATTTGTAGATTTTTAGTACAGGGCAAAATGCGTGGTGTGCGAGGAAAGCGCACCCTGAAGCGGCCAAACCCAGCTTGAATTCTGGTAGCAGTCATGTGACTACTCGTGCTCATCCGAATTTGGAAGGAGAGATAGTTCGAAGGCTGGGGAAGGGAGAGGGAAGCCTGGTGCCAAGTTCACAGCGTTTTGCAAAAAGGATGACAGTGCACGAAAACGAGAGAGGCACTTCCCTGTACACGGAGTTAGCCGCTCGCGTCCGATTGGATCGGTGTTCTTGCACGCGAACCAGAAGACCACCTTCACCTACTATTCAGCCCATTGAAGCCTTGGTTTGAATTGTATAAAGCTGGATTAATATACGCCACAGTCTTTCACATATATTCAGATTTTACCCGAGGTTTGAATGCACCTTCCTCGGTCCAGGGTGCAGAACGCAAAGTGGCTTGCTCATAACTCAGATTGGTGCCTCCGAGGACGCCGATCCAATCGAACGCAAGCGGCTAACCCAGGGAAGCACCTCTCTCGTTTTTTATTTTATTAGGCCTAGTTTATGGCACCATTTTATACCAATAATCTGTCCTAACACTCGTTGCGCTCCGCAACCTGTAGGATGTCTTGTCTACCCGCTGGGCGCGCCTCCGTCAAGACAACTGGCGCTCGCAAAGAGCTGCTTCATCCAGAGCAGTTTGTGGATCGAATTGACATTGAATGCTATGATAAAATATGGAGAAGTGGAGTAAGGAATACCACAAAGACTCTTGCCTCTGTCAAGTAAACAGGCGCCTCGCTTCGCTGGTAAGTAGGATATAAAGTAAATCGCTGGATAACTGTTTGGCTTACTGTTTATAAAGTTTGCTACTGTTGAGTGTTTATTTACGAGTCCTTTGTAATCATAAACCAACAGGAAACAAGAGCTTTAGCTTGCTTGACGAAAGGAATGAGAGCGATTAAATAAAACTAGATGCCACCGCAATAAAATACATGAGGCCGGGGTGACTTGAACACCCAACCTTCTGGACTGGAATCAGACGCGCTACCGTTGCGCCACGGCCCCGACTCTGAGGTCAGAGACTGTAGCATATACATATGTCATTTGTCTGACCTCAATGGATGTCTTCCCCGTTTGCGTTGTGTGCAATATCAGCGTATATCTCTGCGTTCGTCTTCGCTTTGCCCGCGACGATAGCCATCGTCTCGGACTCTGTCCCCGGCTGAATTCGTAGTGGTACCGTCGACATACTATCTGCCACTGCGAGAACTGCGTTTCCAGTTTTGATGGCCCGGGGTCGCCAAGGCCAGTGGCAGTCCTCCTTGCTTGGAACACCATCTTTCTGAACTGCGCGCAGGGAGAGCTGAGATCTAGGCAGCGAGTAAGTCTCGAGTGAGCCGCCGCCCCATTCGGTGCGGAAGCCACCCGGACGGTGGCAGAAATGTTCCAAGAAGGATTCATCTCCTTGCACAGCGACTCTAGAGAGCTAGCAATGGTAATGAAGACCAGTTGTTCAATACCACGATAGTGCATGCTGTTTACATGCTGGACTTGCCAAACTTTGCCGCGTTGTAGATCGCGAGGGGTCGGCTGGGCAGAGTAGCCACCGCATCAACCAAGATTCAGAAAACGTCCGCCGTCTTCTGTAGCACTAGATCTCGTTCGGTTGCGAATAATGCAAATCTAATGTGAACACGTACATACTGACAGATGTAGACCGCGCATACCGGATTTCGGATCGACTGACATCCAAATCCACCACCGGTATGAAGTCAGCTACGCAGGATAGTTGTACATTGACTCTGTGTATTCTTGGGGCCCGTCGGCTTGACGGACCGTCACATGATGAGTGGGTATACGGCGAAAGACGAATACATAATGCAGGGGATGAAATCCATGGGGGGGCGCGAGAAATGAAAAAAAGCGGTGTCAATCACAGTTGCAGGCCAAGGCACCAGAACACAGAGCCAGATCCAGGTTCAGAGTCGCCGAGTAGCCCATCCTCCAGCAAGTCAATGGAGAGCAGCATCCCAGTCCGGAGAAACCGAGTCGCCAGCCTTCGCGCAATCCGTCGTCTTCGTAGCGTCGGCCAGCCCAGAGCCAACGTTGGCGTTCCACATAGTACCCATCCCGAGCCCCGCCGCCGACCCACGCCATCGTCCTGTCTTCGTACAGACCTCCGCTTGCGAAAGAAGCCCCTTGTAGAGAGCGTTGTTGAAACCGATGCACTGTAGCCCGATGCAGGCGGTCTTCAATGCGCCAGCAGCGTAGAGTTGTCCGACTTCGTAGATATTCTGGGGCGAGGTATTCTTGCGATGTTGGACTGTTTCTTTCACGATGGCTTGAGTAGTCTGGGCAGAACGTATGCAACAGGATACACAATAGACGATATGGACCACACGCTAAGATTAGCGTAGAGGGTGCAAAGCATTGGAAACGCACCTCCACAGGCAATTTAATCCACTCTTGCGGAGTAATGTCTTTGAGTTTGAAGGTTCTGTACACTCCAGCATAGTACCACTTCCCGTCCTTGTTGAAGAAACATTCTGTCGCCGAGTTAGTCCATTTAAGAAAGGAGCACAACATGGTATTCACCGGAGGACTTGTTGAGCTCGGCATCTAGGTCGATAACATTCCACCGGTGCGCAGCGACAATGCGAGGGTTAGTACTACATTTGAATAAAGGTGTGAGGTAGTAGCCATGTTCCTCGCGGTCGGGACACCAGGAAGTTGTCTTCTCTTGAAATACACGATAGTCGGTAAGGCTAGATGCATGGAACAATTGACTCGCAGCAGCGTGTTCAGGTGCGGATACTTACTGCATTTTCATAGACTAGATATGGGATGGTAAGTGCCGTAATCCATAAATGTTGAGCACTGGACTTACTCCGGTAACAGTTCCGAGGAAATCCTGCAAGGTGAATGGCGTAGGGATGATGATGGGCACGAGGGTGTCGATGGACATATCCTCGGGGATTGGAAGATCTGCGAGGACAGCGAACCGCGCCTGCATAATGAGCTCGACAGGCTCGGCGTTTGGCTAATGCATATCAGCTAGGTGCCGAGGACCTTCACGAAGGAAACTGACGTCGTCAGGCCTAGGAGTTTCATGAATAGGGCTGAGAATGTCATGCATAGCAGGCGACATCTGCAAACGCGTAAGTCTCCTACAAGCAGGGCTGTCGCCGATCTTTGCGTAGAACGTCCATAATACTTGCCATCGCTGTTCTGGGCTGCGGACTCAACGACAACACCTCCAGTTTCGTGGCGAGTTCTACGTTCGGCTTCTTCAAGATATCTTTTTGCTTGCAGCATATGTGCTTCATGCTGCTCGGGGGTGGTTGTTCGGCAAGTTGCGTTTCGAGGTTTTCCTTCTCTTGCTGTAATCGCGCAATGGTCGAGTCCTTGGACCGGTTGGATGCACAAAGCCCTTCCATAAGATGTACGGCATGGTCGCGAGCCATCAACGCCTCTGTTACGCGCAACTTTTCGAGATACGTTTCCGTAGGGGCCTACATGCGTTCGACGAGAAAGACGGGTGCCTGCAAAGTCGCACTCACGGGCCTAGACACCATGCTCGCCGTTAAAGGCGATGAGAGCGAAGTCATTATGCAACGTTTCGACGAAATCCGCTGTGCACTGCCGCGGGCGTCGTCGTCTTCGCCGGTGCAAGCGGCGGCGCGAACCTCGACGGGATGAGCGTCGGAAACAAAGAGGCCTCGAGCGCTGGGCTGCCGGCCGCACGCGTCTGACCCTTGCCGGGTGCGGTTCAGCGCGACCTCGGTTCGCGGTTCCACTTGCTTTCGTGCATCCACCATCTTCATCCACCTCACACTCTTTCTGCTGTGAATCTAGCCCTCAGCGTACACTCTCCTCCGTATAATCATGGCATCCGCGAAGATTGCATCGCTCGTCATCCGAGTAAGGCCGCACATCCTTTCATGCAGTCCTCGCATCTTAGACTCAGCAAGACCCTAGCGAAACCCATAAGCAGCCAAATCAAAGCCCAGGTGAAACAGTCGGTATCTGTGTCCTCTTGTGCTTGTATACTATTTACGCCCTCGTCGGAAAGGCATGAGAGGTTCCGGAACCTCTGCATCGGACTTGCGCAGAGCATGCACCGAGGAGAAGTCCACCTACGGACGCGTCTCCTGGGCGAGCAGCCAAAGCACATCCGCCCTCTATCGGAGACGAGGTACGTTGGCTGTGGATGTCGCGCTCGTACCTCACTTTGACACCTCATACCAAGGGCTATCGAGAACGGCGCGAACGCACTCGCAGAAGGATTTTTGTTCGGCGTAGCTGCATTGCTGATCATAGGGGAAACATGGCGTTCAGCCCGCAGCAATACAAAACGAAGAGAGAACGTCGATGTTCGAATAGAAGAGCTACAGGCCCAAGTAGAAGATCTATCGACGGAGGTAAACAGTCTAACACGCATGTTCGAGGAGAAATGGTCAGAGGAGAAATCCAGGTAGGCTGTCCGTGATATATATTACAGTACATGATGCTGACATACAACAGAAATGACGAATTGACTCGAATATTAGAGCGCATAGTAGAAATTGGGCTTAGAGGAGGCTGGGCAGAGTTTGAGGACACGCCATTGGCGATACCTCGAGTCCAGCTTGCACCTACTCGAGAGCAGCCCTCCTCGCAGGAGAGTCCTGTTCTTGACGTAGAGAAGTAGAGATTCCATCGTTAAATTAGGATTCAGGGAATAATTTAACTTCACCATGCTCAAACACACCCACGACCAGTTCGGTATCTGTAGTTGTTTAATGAGTTTTATAGCGTAAGTTGAAGACCGCGAGGATGGCTTACCATTTACGACCCAGGAATGACATCAGACTTCTAGGCTGTTTGCCTTCATGTCATACGTCTGTTCCTCCTTCTCGCACCAAATATGGATCCCCGACAAGCAGGCACTCGACAGGCCGATTCTCTCGAATCGCGCGACGAGATCTTCCGCCGACGCCCTGGACCGCGCGGTGCACGCCACATCCCTTATTCGGACACCGCAGAGGTGGCCCGAGAGCAGCTCGCAAAGAGAGACCAGGTGCGCAAAGTCGTCCGCCGAGAGCTCCATACACTCGACGGCGAGACTGGCCAGGTTCTGCAGCGGCTCGCGCGAGGAGGTGTGCAGTGCGCCGGCGGCCATAGCGACGGAGCGGCGGTACACGCGGTCGAGGAGCGCGCCGCCGCAGCCGTGCAGGCTGAGCCGCGTCAAGGATCGCCCGCAGTGCGTGAGGAGGGCCACGACGGCCTGCGCGGCGACGTCGCGCTCGTGGTTGCTGATGCGGCTGCTCTCAACAAAGTGCAGATGCTCGACGAGCGGCATCGGGTGCTCCGCGCGGATCGTGTCGACCAGCGGCGCGAGCTTCATCGGCAAGCTGTCGTTGCGCAGCGGGAAGAACGTCACCGACAGGCTGTAGTGCTCGCCGCCCGCGCGCACGCCGGTGCCGTGTATGCCGCAGGTGATGACGTCGTCGTAGAGGAAGTCGTGGGCGACAGAGATGTCGCGGAGGTCGCGGAAGAGCTGGGTAGGGATGCTGCGCCGGCTCACGAGCATGCTCGTCAGCCAGTCGGTGTCTGCGCGAGCGGTGAGGTCGACACGTGACATGTCCCCGCGGAGGACGATGGACTGGAGGATGTGTAGCATGTATTCCGAAGGGAGGTCCAGAACGAGCTCGCGCAGATCGGGTACATTGATCTGCTTGTGGTCGCCTTCCGAATAGAGGCTCGTGGGTAACAGAGAGTTGGAGAGGGGGTCCCACGGGGTCTGTTTGTCGTCCATGATCTTCAGCTCCAAGCTCTCTAGGTTCGGCGAGTCCCTAAAGAGCGCGAGAAGATCGCGGTCCTTATCCGGATGTGGGAGCAGCCCGTAGAACTCGAGCTTCAGTTTCCTGAGGTTTCGGTACATACCGCTTTGCCAGGCCAGCCGACATCCCTTCAACTCTAAACTGCGCAGATGAGGCGTCTGATTGTCGAACAGGCTGGTGTATATGTTCTTGAAGCGGTAGCAGTTAATGACTGTCAGCTCCTGCAGCCGTGCTGCAGGACGA